TAAATAATCTTAACAAATTTATTAAAGTCCACAAGGACAAAAACGTGCATAACAATAATAATAATGTTGTCTACAAAATTAATTGTAAGGATTGTGAAGCTTCGTATGTTGGGCAAACCAAAAGAAAATTACGCACTAGACTAAAAGAGCATATGAATAATATTAAATTTGATTCCTCCAAGCATTCTGTGGTCTCTGAACATATTATAAATAAAAAACATGCTTTTGATTGGGATAACGTTAAAATACTTGATATTGAATCTAATTATTATAAAAGACTTATCTCGGAAATGATACACATCAAGGAACAAAGGCATGGTATAAATAATAACACAGACACCGAATTGCTTAACAACGCGTATTTCGACATTCTAGAAGAAATATCGAATTTTTAGACTTATGTAAATGTTTATTTTGTGAGATCTGACACCTATTTATTCGACTTTTTAAAAGACTAGACAACAGTCAAGTACTAACAATAAGGCCAACAACAATTAGAAGCATCGTCATCTCAAGTTATTCGGAACAATTTGTAAGCATAAAGGTTCAATATTTTAGTATTTAGTTAATTTGTAATTTTTATTTTTTTACATACACATTAGTGGAATCCTATTTTACAATTGAATAAATTCTCTAAATTCAGTTAACAAATATCAAATAATTTGGAGAAGATGGACATAATCATTGCCAGATCGAGGGACTTTCGTCAAATAACGATAAGTGGTTCGTTTGGAGCAATGTATAAGTGTCACTCCGAGTTTTTATTAATAATTCTAAAATATTTTATGAATAACCGGACGAATCATTCTGCTTCTAATTGGGTTCTTACTTTGTTGAACTATTTTAATGGTTTCAATTCATTGTAAATATATTTTGCGTTTTAACTATGACTTAACTATATAACTTATATTGACTATGTATTGCGGATTTTTTTATTAGAACTTTATGTATGTATTTATTTATTATGGGTATTTATTATCATTATTTTTTTGCGCACTGAAGAGGAGCAAGTAGAGCTCGAAACGTTTGTGTAATTATTATTCAAATTAAGAATTTCTTCTAAATAATAAAATAATTTCGTATTGCTCGTTACACATGGCCTTAATTTAATAATTTATCATTGTTCATTATGTCATACAGAGCTGAACATTGGTATGTGATGTGTTTGATTAGGTATTAATTTTGCATTGTTTTTTATGGCCTGAAAATGCGTTATACTAAATGTTTAAAATAATCGGCAATTTTAATTTATTATTAATTCATTTTAAAATAAAAGTTTAAATAAATTAATTGATTTAAATATCAAAAATAATTATATAAATTTGAATTTTTTAATAAATAGTAAATATTTTAAAGTATTAAAAATTATATAGTATTTAAATAATTTAATATAAATTTAATTAAAAAAATTTTGATTTGATTAAGATTAAAAACAAATTTTATTGAATTAAAATTTATATTTACTAATTTAATTTATTACATGGTAAATTTAAATATTTCAAATAGTGATTAACAAATGCCGCAATATTGAATGAAATTTAAGAATCAATTCAATTTGAAAGATTTCAAAAGAATAAATTTTAAATTAAAATTTTAATTGAAATTATGGGAAAGAAAAACCTATTGAAAAATATAATTTTTAAATTTATTTAAGGAAATAAATTTTATTTTAATGATTATATTTTATTGGGAGGATAATTAAATAAAATAAACTTTAATTTAAAGATAATTTTAACATTAATTAATGAAATTTTTATAAAGGATTGATTATTAAATTAAGAAAATTTTTTTTTTTTATAATAATTATTATAAAAATTAATTACCTTAGGGATAACAGCGTAATATTTTTAGAAAGATTATATTAATAAAAATGATTGCGACCTTGATGTTGAATTAAAATAAAAATTAAATGAAGAAGTTTAATATTTTAGTCTGTTCGACTAATAAAATTTTACATGATTTGAGTTCAGATCGGTGTAAGCCAGATCGGTTTCTATCTATAATAAAATTAAGAAAATTTTGTACGAAAGGACTTTTTTTCAAATTATATTTTTTTTAATGAATAAATTTAATTGATTAAATATATGTAAATAAATAAAATTACTTTGGCAGAATTTAAGTGTATTAAATTTAGAATTTAAATGATGTATAATAGAAAAAAATTATACAAGTAATAATTTGTCAAAATTTAAGATTATATTTTTATAGTGCGTTAAATATATTAAGATTGTTAATTTTGTTATTAATTATATTAGTTGGGGTAGCTTTTTTAACTTTATTGGAACGAAAAATTTTAAGATATGTACAAATTCGTAAAGAACCTAATAAGGTGGGATTTATAAGATTATTTCAATCTTTTAGTGATGCTATTAAATTACTTAATAAAGAATTATTTTATGTATATAAATCTAATTATAATTTTTTTATGTCCTATAATTAGATTTGTTTTAATAATAATATGATTAGTATTTCCTTACATTACTAATATTTATTTTTTAAATTATTCTATTTTATTAATAATTGTTTTATAACTATTAGAGGGTATGTTATAATTTTTATGGGATGATCAGCTAATTCGATTTATTCAAAAATAGGGGCAATACGATCAGTTTCACAAATATTATCATTTAAAGTAAGATTTATTTTAATTGTTTTAGTTATTATATTAATAAGAGAGAGATATTCTTTTTTTGATTTTATTAATTATCAATTTTATTTATGATATATAGTAGTTTTATATCCTTTGTTTATTATATTTTTATTAGGATTTTAGCTGAATTAAATCGAAGTCCTATAGATTTTATCGAAGGTGAGTCAGAATTAGTTTCAGGGTTTAATATTGAATATTTTAGGGGTGGGTTTACATTAATTTTTTTATCTGAATATCGAATAATTATTTTTTTTAGATTAATTAGAATTTATATATTTAGAAATTTATTAAAATATTCAATAATTTTAACTTTTATTTTAATTAATATTTTATGTAGAATAGTAATTTTTATACATGGAATACTTCCTCGAATACGATATGATGAATTAATATATTTATGTTGGAAAATTATTTTACCAATAATTTTAGTTTATATTTTATTAATTTTGGATTTAAATTTATATTATAAATAATAATTTAGTAAAAAAATTAAATGTTTAAAAGTTAATAAAAAATTAAAATTTCTTTAATATGTTTTCAAAACATAAACTTAAATTCAAGATCATTACCTTAATTTAATAGTAATTTATAAAAAATTTAAGTATTAAATATAATTATTTTTAATATTTTAAATTTATTTATAATGATAAATTTTTTAATATTTATTTAAAAATAATTAAATCTCAAATTTTTATTAGGAAAGGTAATAAGATAAAATAAAGAAAGTAACATAATGATAAAATTTGTCTAATAATGATAAAAGGTATTTCAATAGGTTGAGCTCCTGCTCATGTTAATAGAATAAAAATATTAATGAAAATTCAAAATAAATATTGATTTAAAGGATAAAATGATAATGAATTAAATTTTATAGAAATTAGAGGTAAAAAGTATAAGATAATAATTGATGATAATAATGCAATTACACCTCTTAATTTGTTAGGGATAGATCGGAGGATAGCATAAGCATATAGAAAATATCACTCAGGTTTAATATGAATTGAAAATGTATTTTATAAATAAATGAAATATTATATATATATATATATAATATATAAGTTTATATATATATATATATATATATATATATATATATATACACAGATATGACAACCGTTATCTTGATTTTTTCCGATTATTGATGTTACATTGCGTATAACTCTCATTTCTTTCTCTCTGCTACATAAGTACTTATGACGTGAAAAAACTTACGAGTAACGTATGATGGCTCAATGCAAGAATATTTAATCACGTAAAAAACTTGAGTTCAAATATATTAATATCAATTTTTTTATAATATATTGAAATATAGAAAATCATAGAAATATATTTTTTATATAGGCGATAAACTTAAAAATTTGATATTGAAAATATTTTAATTATTTTACAACTACACACACTATAAATATATAAATGCAAAATAATTTCGTAAATAAATTTCAAGTAATAAATCAATTGCACACATGCACACAGCTGGTATGTAGATTTTTATTAAATTTATTTTCTGAATTATTTTACACTTATATATAGTGTATGTAGTAAAAATATTTTCAATATATTAAAAAATTTTTAAATCGCCGAAATATATCTTTTATCAATTTTCTATATTCCAATATATATATATATATATATATATATATATATATATATATATATATATATATATATATATTATAAAAAATTAATATTGATATATTTGAACTCTAATTTACTGGATGATATATACTGAACATCCTTGCATTGATTATACATTACTCAACGTTCTTTCACGTTATAAGTATTTGGAGCAAATTATACAATAGCATCAATAATCAAAAAGAAATCAAGAATAATCAACATATTCCTTATATAATATATATACATATATATGTATATATATATATATATATATATATATATATATATATATATATATACGCACATATGTGCATAAGCATATATAAAATTTACAAAAAGTAGGTACTTATTAGCCTTGCTACGCTACTGCCTTCTGCTACGGAAGGCCATTTTCAGGCGGCATCTCGCGTATACCGGCACGGTAGAGGAACAAGGAGAACACGTGATTATCGGTCCTTGTCTCTCTACGGTGCGTTCGCGTGAGCAATGCAATGGTGTATGTACGTGTACAGACATGCACCACTACATAAAACCTGAGAATTGGTTTCTCGGCGTTGGCAACACTGAAATCGGAGTTTCGCGTTGTCACCGCGCGAGGTCTCCAACATCAATTCGGAGTTTGGCTGACCGACCTGTCGACCCTTAAAGCAGACGTTTTGATGCAATTTCAGAATTCTTTTTTACATATGGATTTATATTTGTTTTGTTCTGCTTGTATGTAATTCAATAATGTAATTTATGTTTTACAATTAGCAAACGCGTATGGCCGCTGTCATTGCTTGCGCTTCGGCAGACAACGAAAGATTTGCAATTAAACAGAGATTATCGAGATGACGAAAGTATTTTACGATGCGACAGAGCAAAAGAATTCGAATGCAATTCGAAGAATTTTATCGTGGAAAATAAGAATGACATACACGTCGCTTTGAAGAAACATAATAATCTCTTTCTAAAACATGTAAGATAAAAAAACGACATGAGATACAACAGATAGCACAGGTTCAATTATTTTTAAAATAATAATTTATACTAGACATAAATTACTTATGTATTATTATTCTTTATAATATTTACTTTATAGATATGTGCAGATTGCGCACAAAAATCCAATGCAAGATGTATTGTGGATATTGGAGCAGGAATGGGTCACTTAGCTCGGTCATTAGCATTCAAACATAACTTATGTGTAATATGCATTGAACAAGATGCAGAATTGTCACAGCAAGCCAGGTAATTCAATATTATTTTTTCAATAGCTTCTTCACAATTATTTTTAACAATTTTTGCATGCTAACTTTACAAAATATTATTTCTTTATTATTAATTTAATACTTTTATTTTATTGACAGAAAATGGGATCAAGAATTATTAATCTCCTTATCTAAACATTTGCCTAACTTGTCAGTGAATTTTCCACAACATGTGTCAATCAAACTGGAAAGTACTAATTCTGATCAATCTGAGACAATTAAAGATATACAAAAATATTTTCCAAGGATTTTAATCTAAATGAAAAAAAATCAGAATTTGGCATTGTGGGATTACATCCGTGTGGAGATCTTGCAGCTACATTATTGAAGCTTTACACATCTCAACATGAGACAAGATTCATTTGCATCGTTGGATGCTGTTATATGAAATTAACATTGGAGTATGTCTTTGAGATACCACAGAATATATATATATATATATATCATAGTTTTGATATTACAGTTATTAAATAAGAATAAAAAAATATTTAGATATCCAATGGATGTATCAAATGGGTATCCACTAAGTAAATATCTGTTATCATTTTCAAACTACAAGTTGTCGTATACAGGATTAGAAGTAGCATGTCACGCTATCGAAAGTTACTGTGATAAACTGAAAACTGGGAATTACAAAGATTTAATAGTTAAGTATCAGATATATTCTAAAATGTCATTGAGCTGTTATTAAAATATGCAATGTTTTAGGTGCACGCTTATAGAGCTGTCTTGGAAACTATTTTAATGAAACAAGACAAACAATTATGTCACACTCAAGTGAGGAATGTAAAGGTGACAAATTCTATGACATTTAAACAGTTGAGTAAAAGAGAATTTAATGTATTATTGTATTGTAATTGAACATATATATATGTTATTACGACAATTAAATATGCTTGTATTATTACAGATATTGCATGGCTGCAACTGCAAATTTCGAAGTGCATCATCAAATTGAAGATTTAGATTTTCAGGATTCACAAATAATGTTTTATCTAAGTCAATGGAAGCATATTGTAATATTCGGCGCATTACGAACGATGTTGGCGCCATTAGTGGAAACTATTGTATTATTGGACAGATTTCTATATTTATCAGAAAATCAATTATCTCCCATATTGAAACCTATCTTTGATGCAAGATTGTCTCCTAGAAACTTTTTATTGTACTCAATGAAAAATATCGAACAATCACTTTATATCTGAATCTTATTGCTTCAAAAAATTAATTGTAAAATTAAACATTTATTTCATGTTTTTTTTGAAAATTAAATATTGATTTCACAATTTTATATAAAATAAATTCTGTCCTAAAGTTCTATCTTTTCTACAATTCAATTCAGAAATAAGAATGCTTTTAATACACTTTTCGTACAAATTCGATCAAAATTAATATAATTGCGTATGATTTCTTGTAATATCTGTGCGTAACAATCGCGTGCACACCTTTGACAGAAGAGTTCTTTCTACAAATCAACCTGCCAGATTTGATGCTGTATTTTCGCGCCTGAATATACAAATCTCGATACACTTCCATTAATTCCATATTCAGTAAATAAACAGATTAGGAACCTTAGCCTCGAGAAATGCAATCGTATGACGCGCGGCGCGCCAAATTTCCTTCATAGAAATCGATGATACTGGCGCGCGGACGACAGCGCGAGCCAATCAGAACGCGCGACGCGAAACTCGCGAGACGCTGGTTCGCGGAGCCACCAGTAGGGCGCGCAGCGGTCGGCCGGCCGTCAGTTCGCACGAAGCGTTGACGTTCATCCGGCGAGATCTAGGCACAGTTTCCCTTAAGCCGCTCTCGCGTGTTTGTCTGTTCTCGTCGCGTCGTGCATCCTCTACCGATTATTATTTTTCTCCTCCTCTCCCCTCCCCCGTTCGCGCGCACGAGATCGTCGGCACGGTTGTGCAAGGAACTGCGAGCGGTATACACACTATATACCCTCGTGTCGTCGTCATCATAGTCATCGTCGCAACCGTAGTTTCTCGTTCGTCGTCGTCGTTGTTGTCGCAACGTCGAGTGCTCTAATTCAAACGCGTCTGCCCGGTACTCAACGCAGGATGGCATTCAACGGAGACGGTCCGCACTCGAAAAGACAGCGACTCGAGGAATCCGGACATAGGGTGAGTGCCCGCCATTATTATTATTATTATTATTATTATTATTATTATTATCATCGTTCTCGTCGTCTTCGAGCGTCTCGTCGCTGGGTGCCCTATGCCCTCGCGAGCGCGTCCGTTCGTGGACGGACGCGAGGGAAGCCGCGTCGCCATTTATCGTGGTGTAATGATCATGGTCGAGAGAGAGAGAGAGAGAGGGAGAGAGAGAGAGAGAACGCGGCGCGTGTCTGAGCGATTTCCGCGAGCGACGCGCGGGGCGCCATTTATCCGCGATTCCGATGCACACGTATGCATATGCACGCCCGCCCGGCGATCTGCGCTCGCTCCCGATAACAATGGGGCCGCCGTGGATTCGCGACAGTCGAGCAGCGAACCGACGCGATTGACATGTCGATTTGTCCGTCTGTCTTTCTCGGTCCGTCTGATTCGCCGCGCCGCGCCGGTCGTCTCATCGTTATTTCGCAAATGTCAAAAACATTTTCCGTCTCTCTCTCTCTCTCACTCATGTAAAAAATATCTCGTATGAATTAATTCGTGGAAAATGTGTGTCAATTATTTCCGAACATTTATTGTGCAATTTTTTTTAATCGGCTGTCATCGTATGGTGAAAGAGAGTTACACTTCTTTCTCGATAAATTTTGTACGTATCTTTGTATAGCTTTATGCTTTTACATTCTTAAACTTATGCAAAATTTTGTAATCATGCTGCAAATGATAAAAAATAACTAGATTAATATTATATATTATACTCATATTTCGTAAATGAGGAATTTAACATTCTTGTCGATCATTTTAAATAAAAGCAAAAAAATTTTTAAATGCTTATAATAAATGCTGTCTGGTATTGCGAATATTGCAGTTTTATGAAAAAAGGCATTACAATATATAAAACAATCTCGTTTTAATTTTGACAAAAAGCTAAAAGATATTAAAAATTGCTTTCAGAAAATAAAAAGCAACTTTTACACGCTAACGTTGTTAATCGATAATCTCTATCCAATTTTTATCTTATCTAAAAGATATATGCAAGGCGCCCCAGATTTACTGTCTATGAATTCTTTTACAAACTTAAAATCAAGTTTTACATAAGTTTTCAGCATTAGTAATTTTTAAATAAATAAATGAAAATAAAAAATATTGAAATAAAAATGCATTTTTTGTAGTTATGCTTTAGATGTATAAACGAATAACAAGATTTTATTATATATAGTATAATTTGCATTAATTATTATCAAAAGTTTTATTATGAAAATTTTATTTAATATTGTGAACATTTTTAATGATAAATATTAAACAATTGTAAGAAAAATAACTAATTTTTTTGTTAATGGACTTTGAATAGAAAAAAAATGTGTAGAGTTTATGTATATGAATAAAGTGACCTTATGTAATATAATTTAAAATGATAATTACATTCTTTTATAATAAATGGCGTATATATAATTTTAATTTAAATTTGTTTATTACATACGGGACGAGAGAATTGTGTGCATATTCAAGATCAGTTTAATTTTCACAGACTGTATCGGAAAGTTATTAATTATGTTCATATTTGTTAAATCACGACAATTTCACTCATATTTTATTCGTTTAAATATCACGTAAAATATTTATTTGCGTCTTGTTTATTCTTTTAAGTTGTACAAATAATGGAATGGACACGAAACATGTTTATTCGAACGCCTTTTGTTTTGCAAATGCCTTCGAAAATTATCAACTTCACACACAAAAAACTTAAAATATTCCTTTATTTTTCTACGTATTTAACATCCATTCAGGAGATTGCAAGAAAAACTAAAAATTACTCTAATTATTAAGAGATATAATGACGACAAAGAAAAATTGTCAAATTTAGACGATAAAAACAAAACTATATCTTGCAAAAATATTGTCAGGTTCCGAATTAAAATTTTGAAATTCGTGCTCAAATCTATCCCACAGCTTTATTAATAATAATATTTTTTATCTTATCTAAAAAATAGATGCAAGGCGCCCCAGATTTGTTATCTATTTATAAATTCTTTTACATAAAATTCTTAAACACAAAATCAACAATCTCCACTTGATTCCTCTCGACCAATAGAGCCAAACGCGATGTTATTGCGACAATTATGAAAGAAAGAACATTTGAAAAAGGAATTTGAATCCTATGGTTGGGATCTCAAAAATTCCCCTTGTTCCTAAACATTGAGAAGAATATTTATTCGTGAGTGTCTGAATAGCTCAGCTGGAAGAGCAGTCGCCCGGCAAGTGGTAGGTCTCGGGTTCGTGTCCCGATTCCAGCCGACTTTCGGACCAATATTTTTCTCGCCTATTTTCTTTACAGGGGATGTTAAGAGAAGGAACAAGGGGAATTTTTGAGATCCCAACCATAAGATTCAAATTCCTTTTTCAAATGTTCTTTCTTTCATAATTGTCGCAATAACATCGCGTTTGGCTCTATTGGTCGAGAGGAATCAAGTGGAGATTGTGGCTTTAAAAATTAAAAGAGCTGACTCAATAAGTATTCTCATTATTTTACATAAAATCAAGTTTCTCATAAATTTTTCAGCATTAGTAATTATTAAATAAATAAATTAAAATAAAGAATAACATTGAAATAAAAAACAATACATTTTTGTACCGCAGTACAACCACACTGAAAAAGATTTGACTAAAAGACAACTAAATCTTTCAACTAAATTTCTATTTTGTTATTATTGAACATATATTAGTATTTAAGTCAAATATACGTTTTGTCAGATTTAATATGTTGCATTTAATTTAAATATTTTTATATGTTTAATTAACAAAATAATATTTAGTTGAAAGGTTTGGTCAAATTAACAAATCTTTTTTTCAGTGCATAAGAATCCAATCTCACATTTAATTTTGCGTTCTAATTAATTAATCTAATTATTATCTTTATCCTGAATACCCAAATTGTTTGGCGCATGTAATGTGTATCACCACACACAGTGTGGTTAAGTATCGGCGTCACGATGACGACAACCTGTTATCCAGACGACACTGCTCGACCACGTCGGCAGGTCGCGTTATCGTTGTCGCAAAATGAGCAACGTGAGGATGATGTACACGTACAAAACGAAGTTCGCGCGCGCGCGAACTCGCGCGCTTCGTGGTCGATAATTCTGCACGCGTTATCACGGCGCGCGATGCACGACATATCAGGCGATGGACGTTCCCTCGAGGTAATCGCAATGTATCGACGAGAGGAGGTCGAATATAATGGGCGACAGGATTTCCGATTTATTTTTGCCCCGTAAAATCCCTCCACGATCGATAAACGCTGCGAAGAATCACACTTCATGAATTATTATTATATTTTTTGCCCGCGGACTCTTGATTTTTTTCCTTCTTTTTACATACCTCTTTGCTTCTCGCACTATAGTATACACTCTATACAATTACTCCCGCCTCCCGTATTTCCGGTTTATCGTCTGCTTTGAATATGTATATTGTCGGGATTCGTGAAACGCGGCGCAAACGTCAAAAGAAACCTTTTCATCGCGATGCAACTTTGTCCCCATTGAGTTTAGAGTGCATCCGGGCTCTGGTGTATATAGTACATCGTCAATGCAGCAACTGGTCGCCCGAGTAATATCGAGTTGAGTACAAATGATTCGGTTGTGCTAACGCATAAATCGACTTTCGTTCGCACTGTTACCACGCGCCGCACGAGGTCCTTTTACGTCAGTACCCGTCGTTTTGCGTCAGATGCAGCACACTGTAATATGTATATGCGCGCATTGCAAATCTCGCGGATCAAGCATAGGCAAATAAAATGTAGAAAAAGTAATCATCACCGAGCAAAAATTTAATTGTGTCACGTTTAGAAGATTATCGCATATTTCACGATTATCGTATACATATTTTACGTCGCAGATTATCAAGGCAAAATACAAATGGTTTGTTCGCACAGTAGAGTAATAAAAAGAGTTACTCTTGAACACAATAAAATATCAATTGAATACAATAAAATTCTTATTTAATATGAAAATTGTAATTAATCAACATTTTCAAACAATTCTCGTATTTTTTTCGTAATGTCAATATTCTAAAGAAAGATATATTAAAGAATGC